GACAGAGACAGAGAGATAGAAAGATGAAAAAATGGGTGAAAAAGTTCCGTGTCTAAAGCCTCATTTTCTAGTAGTGAGTCGTCTCTATCATTCATGGGTAGAATAGAGGCGCGGATTTGGGAATTGTATATTTTATATAAAAATCAAATTGGAATATTTTATACAATCACACCTATTTAGGAAGTGTGATTAAAAAGTAGTAATGTATATATAATCACACTTTAATTAAAATGTGTGATTAAAAAATATATATATAATTACACTTGTTTAAAAAGTGTGATTAAAAAGTAGTAGTGTATATATAATCACACTTTAATTAGAAGGTGTGATTAAAAATATATATATATATATATATATAATTACACTTGTTTAAAAAGTGTGATTAAAAAGTAGTAGTGTATATATAATCACACTTTAATTAGAAGGTGTGATTAAAAATATATATATATAATCACACTTAATTGAAAAGTGACATAAAAAATAAATATTATCACACTCAATCAAATTAAGTGTGATTAAAATATCAATCTAATTTTTTTTATCACACTTCCAATAAAAGTGAGATCTTTTTTTTTATCAAAGTGTGATCTTTAACTATTTTTGTAGTAGTGGACGCTGGCAAAAGAAGATGCGTTTTTTGCTCACTACGCTCAAATTGGTCTATGTGCTAACTACCCCCTATCTAGTGGAGCAAGAACATGAGACTATGGAGCAAACCCGTACCAGAACCAAATAGGAGAATGACGACTACATTTGCTGAGGACACATTTTGAATGCGCTGTCAGACTCTTTGTTCGATGTGTATCAACATCTGGAAATGGCATAGCAACTATGGGACATATTACAGTCAAAGTACCTCAACGAGGATGCCACCAGTAAGAAATTTCTTGTTAGTAATTTTATACGTTTTTCTATGATTGATACAAAGCCCATTATGGAACAATTCCATGAGATCCAATATATTCTGAGCTAGTTTCGACAAAAGAATATGAACATGGATGAATCTATTGTAGTTTCATCTATATTAGAGAAACTGCCATCTTTTTGGAAGGATTTTAAGAAAACTCCAAAACACAAAAAGGAAGATCTTACTTTAGAGGAATTGGCTCAACACCTTTGAGTTGAGGAAGAGTCAAGGCTTCTTGAAGGTAAAGATAAGCAATTGGCTCAGACTTCCAAGATCCACATAGTGGATGATGGCAAGAGGTTTAACAAAAAGAAGCGTAAGCGTGTACCCTAACCCAAGAAAGATGCTAAAAAGCCAAAAAGCGCTTGTCGGCACTGTGGCAAACCAGGGCACTTCAGAAATGAATGCCGGTCATACAAGAAGAAACTAGAAGCATCAAATACCAAGAACAAGTTAGTGGCTGTTGTATCCGATGTGAATATGCTCGAAGATGCTAGTGACTGGTGGATTGACTCAGGAGCAACAAGGCACGTTTGCAGCAACAAAAGCCGTTTCACTACTTATGAACAAGTGTGATGGAACAATTCTCTACATGGGCAACTCTTCAACTGTTGCTATCAAAGGCAAAAGGACGGTGGATTTAGAGTTCACATCTGGAAAAGTCTTAAGTCTTAGTGACGTTTATCATGTACCTGATGTTAGGAAAAATCTTGTATCTAGAAACTTGCTTAATAAACATGGTTTCAAGTTAGTATTTGAGTCGGACAAATTTGTCCTATCTAAGGGTGGGATTTTTGTTGGGAAGGGCTACATATATTAAGGAATGTTCAAACTTAACGTTATTAATAACAAATATGTTTCTGCTTATATTATTTATTCTCTTTCTTTATGGCATGCTCGTTTAGGTCATGTTAATACTAGGAAAATGCATGATTTGGTTAATTTAGATTTAATTCCTAAGTATGATATTGATATGTTTGAAAAATGAAAATTTTTTGTGCAATCTAAAATTACTCGCATTCCATTTCCTAAAGTAGATAAAATCACATCTCTGCTTGAACTTGTGCATAGTGATGTATGTGACATGCATAGTACCCCCACTAGAGGTGGTAAGAGATATTTTGTAACATTCATTGATGATTTTTCTAAGTACTGTCATATCTATCTTTTGCATTCAAAAGATGAGGTGCTTGATAAATTCAAGATTTTTAAGACAGAAGTGGAAAATCAATGTAATGTCAAAATAAAGAGACTTAGGTCTGATAGAGGCAATGAATACCATTTTCCAGAATATTGTGAAAATGTTGGTATTATTCATAAAAAGCCTGCACCCTACACACCACAACAAAATGGAGTAGCTGAAAGAAAAAATAAGATATTAACAGAAATGATTAATGCTATGCTTTCTTACTCCAGTTTAAGTTCTAGTTTTTGGGGTGAAGCCTTGCTCACTGCCTGTCACATACTCAATAGAATTCCTCCCAAGGAAAGAAATGTTACTCCTTATGAACTTTGGAAAAACAAGAAACCTAATCTAGGTTTCTTGAAAACATGGGGCTATAGAGCAATAGTCAGATTACCTGAACCTAAAAGGAAGAAATTAGTGAAAAAGGAATTGAATGCATATTCCTTGGCTATGCTATACATAGCAAAGCATATAAGTTTCTGGTAGTAGAGCCCAATGGTTTAGTGGAAACAAATACCATCATTGAATCACGTGATGCGATATTTTATGAGAATCATTTCACAACCATTCCAAGGTTGGATTCTAATCAAGAAAATGAATCAATTCCTTTGATGTCTACAGAGAAAAGTGAACGACATGAACACATTGAGCCTAATGAACCAAATGAGCCTGTTGAGCTATGGAGGAGTAAGAGGGCTAGGACTGAGAAGTCATTTGGCCCTAAATTCATTGTTTACCTTGTAAAAGGAACTAGGAAAGCTTATTGTAAGAAAACAATGATTTCTTTGAATATGGATTCAGATCCATTAACCTTTGAGGAGGCTATGAAGTCTCAAGATGTTGCTTTGTAGAAAGAAGCAATAAACGATGAAATGGATTCTATCATG